CATGATTTATGTAATCTTCCCAATTTTGATTCTCATTCTTCTACTCATTTTCAACCACACATTCTTCAATAAAATAATATTTTTATCAAATCAATAACTTTTCCTACTTTTCCAACCACACATTCTCCATCAATCTATTATTCCAAAATACATTCTTTCAAAATAATGTGGCTCAAATGCACCCTTAGATAGAATTCTAAGCGTGGCCAAGTTCACTTTTTTTGGCCCGACAAGTACTGTCTTTGATCAAGTGGCAATAGGATAATTTTTATTTATTTCCATTTTTTTTGTTGATTTCTTTTTTCTTTTTCTTTTTTTAGGATTGCATGGAGTTGACTATTTAAGTTGGCCCAATATATGTGCCAAGTCGTGCTAGACCAATTGCAACTTGCAAATAATGACTCTGAAAATACATCCTGCTTTTACGCTTTACTTGAAAGTAAATATTTAAGTTTAGGGTTTGATTAAAATATTTTAAAAAATCCAAGGACCAATTTTCACCACACAAAAATTTAAGGGACCATTTTGCATCAAAAAGTTCAGGGAGTAATCGGTAACAGTTAGAAAGTACAGGGACCACTTTTTGCATGATGAAGCTTTGGGGACTAATCTGTATATTTCCGAAACCTAGAGGCAGACTTCAATAATTCAAAGGCCCAGCATACAAAATTCTGATAGTATGGGGACTGTCTCACACCCGAGACGAAATTTCTATTAAGCCCCCTGTTTGAGCCACATTATTTTTTTCATTCTCATTATTCTATTCATTTTCAATCACGCATTTTTCAATGAACCACGCTACTTGTACAATGAATTTGACAATAAGTTTGACAATGTCTGAGTTGGCAAGCATTATGTCTATTGATTTGAAAAATTATTTTTGAATTCAATGGCAATGATCTACACAACTCACACATTGTCAAAATCATTGTGCAAAATTCACCGTACAAGTAGTTTAATTCTTTTTTAATAAAATAATATTTTTCATCACATCAATAACTTTTTCTTATTTTTCAACCACATATTCTCCATCATATCAACAAAAAAAAAAAATGCATTTTTTACCCCAAAATGTGCACCAAACCGGGGTAAGATATCATCGACCATTCCAAAAACCACCAAGTCAAAGTTGGACCCAAATTTCGAGATGTGGTGGAGTGACTAGTTTTCTAGGGGGTTCAAGCAATCTTTAGCGGATGTCAACCAAGATGAAACGAGCAAGAACAAGTGAGTCAAATTGAAGCAGTAGCATATCCATCGTCAAAGTCAAGCTGATCAAGCATGGAGACAATAAGAACACGAGTTGCTAGCATTTTCATCCTCCTCTAGTAAGCCGTCCGATTTCGGCCTTTTATTTTAGTAGGAAGGTCAAACATTATGCGTATGAATTGTTATGGCGATGAGGCAAACTTGAACATCCTTCGTCTCTGAATGCATTCTTATATTTTAAGCTAGAGGTGAGACGTAGCCAACTGTAGGAACAAAATGTTTGGCAAAGCTCTCAGTAAATTATAAGCTGATAATAAATAAAGATTAATCAACTTACAAGAAATTATTATAAGTTTTGCCAAACATGCCAGAAGATGAGATACCTTAGTGAGTTTTAAAACAAACATCCCTAGCTAGAAGACAGATTTTATGGGTGATAATAAGAAACAAAAGACAAAGCTATTCTTCGTGTTAACAAAGCTTGAGAGTGCTGAAAGGAACTGCATAGAGGCTGCTGCCACCATATAGAATCCAAATTCTTCCAAGAGAATTGCTTTATTCACATGCTTTATATACACACGACTCCCAGTTATACCCACAAATTTAAACCAAATTCAATTCTCATGTACTTGTATTATCCAGAGCGGTGTCGCTTCCGCCCCCGGACAATCAACTCCTCCGTCCGCCGCCACAACCGCCGTCGCCTTCTCAAATACTCCCCAAATCCAACTTCCACGCCCACCATTTTCAAGCCATCTGCTGACACCCTTCAAATAACCATCAGGCCCTCTAATTCCCTCAAACAATTATTAGACCAGTCCGAAATTAAACTGAATCGATTGACTGAGTGTGGCCGTGAGGCTTTTGATGACTTGAAAACATTAGTCATTGTCGATGGTAGTACTGGAGGGGTCGTAATTTCGTGCAGGAGGTCCACAGTTGAGTTCTTGGCGGCGCTGTTTATGTCCAGTTTGGTAATTGTATTCATTTTCAAGGGTTTATTTGGAAGAAGAAAAAGGGGCAGTGAAGCGTTGGTGTATAAGAGAGATCGGAGTCTGGGAGGGAGAGAAGTGCTAGTAGGGAAGAGGGAAGGGAACTGGGGTACTACCCCTAGAACGACGCCATTGAGTTTGAATGACTATAATGATGATAAAAAAACGAAAAATACACGAGTGCAGAATAGGAGGAAGGAAGAGTTGCCTCAATGGTGGCCTCAGCTACTGAATTCGGGTTCGAATGTTAATGAAATGATTAATAAGGAGGAATATCAGAGAATGGCTAATAGATTGGTTCGAGGTTGGTTATAAGAAATCTTCTCATCGTTCTTTATTTGACTTTGATTTGATTATTATGGTTGGTGTTATGTTTAAAGGAAAATGTTTCCTAGTTTCATGATTCTTAGTTTATATGGGCATTGATGAGATTTTAACTTTTTAATAGAAATCATTTGGTATTCCTCGCTGCACACATGTTCCTTATGCTTAGATATTGTTGGTTTGAGTAGCCAGTACAAATATGTAGGTTTGGGAATATGTTTCGATGATAAAAGGTCACAATATGTACCTGGAAAATTTCCTTGCAATTTGTTTGAATTTGATTGAAATGTGGTTGTTTAGTTCATGACGACATTGTTTAGAAAAAAGGAAATTGCACTATGTGTGCCGCTCTTCAGGCTAAATAATTAAGTTGAAACTCATGATAAGTATGAATCTGGTTCTCCATCCTCGTAATAATCTAAAAAACCTGCATTCCAGAACACTGTTATGTGGTGGATTGAGTGATAAAGGTGCGTCTTGGGTGGGAGTGGGAGTGCGAGGTGTGAGGAGGAGAAGGGCTGTATCTGATGGTTGCTTGATGGTTCTTTGGCTATTTTAGGAGCTGTTGGTAGTATTATGTCTATCAGTGATGGTGGTGATGTGTGATTGTGGTTTGTACATGGCATTGGAAAATTGGGTTCCAGTGGTGGCTGTGTGGGTTTCCAAGAGAGATTAATTTTCTTTTCTATCAAATTATAGTACAAACCATAAATTTTAGATGTACTCTTGGTAGATGAGTCAATTCATACAAAAGATTAACTGTATTACGAATTGGATTCCTAAGAATACAGGTACCTGTTTGGCCTATATGGAAAAAACAAGTGTATTTTTTTGCCCTGATTACACAACTTCTCATTATATATTATTGTTTATTGAGGCTCAAGCATTGCCAAACTAGTGTAGAGGCATCAATTTGTTGGCATAGCAGGGATTTTCTTTGTACCTTTTTATTCTTACAGTTGTTATTTTGGTTTGACCAAGTATTTGTAGTTATCACTTATCAATTCCCATGGTTGTCTGCCTGGTATCAGATGTTCTCTAGGAGGGGAAGTTATTTTTTTAACAGTTAGCAAGTGCTCACAAATTTTTGAAGCAAAAAACTAGAGATATATATACTACAATGAAGGCACTAGATAAGCGAAATAACAATCTAAGAAACCAGGTATCGGATAAAATCTATCATAAAAAGTCTCGCCTGATTATCAAATGCTATCTTCAAACTAAGTGACTCTTAAGAGTGTGTTTGAGGCCCATTTTTTGGTGAAAAATGTGTTTTGTAATAGTGATTTTTTTTGGAGATAAGTGGTTAAAAAGTAGTTAAAAGTTTTAAGTTCACTGAAAATTTATTTTATTGGAAGAATGTGTTGTTGAAAATGAATTTGAGAAAAAAATGAGTTTTTAGATAATGGGGTCAAACAAGGGCTAAGTCCATCTAAATTTGCATAAAACTATGTCATATATAACTCAAATGTCAAGTAAAAGCAATGGCAAGGATTTACCAAAAAATGTTTGGTTTCCCCTTTTTATCTCAAACACAAGAATTCTTTAAGTCTTATTGCCACATGAAGCCTTTGTAAATCTCTCTCTCTCTCTTTCTCTCCCTCTCTGTCTTATATTGCTCTCTAATAAGCGATGTACGAAGTTTCTACCCACAAGTATGTATTGTTTAGGTCATGCTTTAATAATTATATAAGTTATCAAAGAAAAGAAACACATTTATATGCACTAGCTAATTTACCTTTTTCTCACTAAACCTTCTTACCCAAAAACAATGTTTAACAAAAAAATTATAATACAAGATGCCTCACGATGTCACTCAATTCCCCACCTCACGGGCAGTTTCTTATGTGCATGAGAAGTAAATCTTAAGATTACTTGATATATGAAATGGGCATGGCCTGTGGACAGCTACGAGGATCTTGCATGGAAGGATTTCTGTTCATTCTGAATGATAGCTGTTTTAGATGTTTGTGTCGTATATTTGATCTTTATATTTCAATATGGCCCATCTAAGAATATTTGTTTTGTGCTTTTCATCTAAATTAGCTTTTAATTGCCAGCAATGATGGACAACAAAATGGCTGGGAAGGACATTTCTGCGAATGATATAATTCAAGTTAGTAAATTCCAACCAATTTTGTTTAATATCCATACAATTGACTTTACTTTTGTCTGCAACTCTTTCATTTATATGTCATATAAATATCAAGTCTCGTCGATGGAGTAAAAGTTTATCATATTGCTTCTTAGCGTGGATTAAGATTTATTGGTGGGCTGAATGGCATATGCTTTTAGGCATCTGTTGTTGATCTATTTTTTGTCGTTCAGTGCACATAAAGGCATGGTAATGCAAGGGAATACCGTAATGGTTCTATTTTTGGTTCGGAGAGGTACTCATGTTTAAGGACATAGTATAACGAACATTTGATGGCATGTAGGAAACTATGCTTGCATTTACATATTGAACTTTGAAGTGCTAATCTCTCTCTTCCACAATGTGATATCAGAAGTTCCTCTTTATATAATAGGATCCAGTGTGTTGAGCACGCAACAAGTAAAGTTTTGGATTTGCCTGTAGACCAAATGGAGTTGGATTGTAGTATCCAACCAGTGGTACCTAATTATTGCAACAAGTGGATGCTGAGGAATTTTATCTTTGCGGTTACTCCAAAATAACTTAGTTAATGACCACCTGCGTCGTGACCAGAAATTTCTGTGGAAACTCTGAGTTAAATGAGGAACATTGTCCAATTCCTCTGGTGTCATTGTTCACATTTGCATAATTGCTTAAGATGGCGTGTTAACTCCTTTTGGTTAGCATTGCTATTTTGTGCTGATTTTATTGAACTGATTGGTCAGAGTATTCCAAAGTTTTTCAAATATTTGATAGCTGCAATTTGAAGGTACACCAAAGTGTTGATTTAAATTTTTCCTTCCTGGCACAGTTACATCACATATGCAAGACATTTGGAGTGAGAGCCTCCATTGAGACCGCTAATGCACGAGATTCACTTTATCGGGCAGCCATAAACTTGGTTCTCAGCTACTGTGAGATGTGAGTGAGATTCAGCTTGTATAACCTTGTTATAATTACTTGTCACAGTCTTCTGTCTTCTAGGCTTATTTTTTATTCATATAAAAGTAACTTAATTTGATCTTCTATAGCATGGCAAATAAATCCACCTCTGTCCACATAAATGGTGAGGATGCTCGAGAGTTCATTGCTGGGCTTGCTGATAACATTGGGCTTGAGAATGCTCGTGCTGCCAGAATGGTGTCAGCAGCTGTTGCTGCATGCACACGGTCACGGATTCTACAGGCATGGGTGAGTTATTTGTTCTTGTTCTTGAGATTTTTTTCCCTTCCATTTTTTGCTAAATATTTTATTACGAAGAGGACCAATATTTTCACCAGATTAAAGCTTATTTAGTTCTTATCCTTTTTTCCACATAAATAATATTCGAGGAGCAGTCAGTCTTCGGTTACTTTATCTGATTTCTATAAGAAGATTTACAATTAACAATTGCATAGTGATGTTCTACAAGGTTAATTGTTTCATAAATTTCCTTACTCTTCCTAGTCAATATTGAAAGAAATGTGGTGATAATCTGGTACTTTTGTTATTGTGTTCATCATCTGTACTATGTCATTGAGGTTTTGACTGTGTTTCAAATGCTATCATATCAGGCATTAGAAGTTCAAGGTAAACATTCTGAAGCACTCTTCGAACTGTCCAAAATATGTCTGATTCACAGGGTATTCCCTCCTTCGAAGAGCTCGGTATGTGATTCCATCTCTTGCTTGCTTTACGAAGTTCTGTAATATCCTTTCTGCTTGTTGGTGCTAAAATTTTCCAATTTGAGGATATAACGTGGATATCTTGTAATCCGTTAATAAACAGGATTTAGACATTGAAATCTCGTAGTCTGCTTTAGTTCAGGACTTTGACACTTGATCATCGATATTTGCTTCAAAACTAATGATGAATGATTTGTAGGGTGCATGATCTTCACAATCTCCTTTGAAAATTGACATAATTAATCTAAGTTGCACACACATGGACACGCGACACTAACACTGGCACGACACGACACAACATGGACATGCCGGCAATGCGATTTTTCCAAAAATATAGGAAATGACACGGACACGTTGATTTAAATGCTTCAAAATTATAATATTCATATATTATATCTTTGTTTTTATAATTTTTAATATAGGACACATGTCAAGACACTTTTCCGAGCGATGTCTTAAAAGTATCTCTCAAATGTCAGTAATTTATTAAATATGTAAAGAATTGGACAATGGCGCGTGGATTGTTGGATATATGTCCTTGAGTGTTAGGGGAGTGTCGAGTTCGACACGGCATGACACATCGTTGGACATGACACTATCCTAATAGAAAAATAGAAACACGTGTTTTAGAGTCTTTGTAATGGTCAATTCTTCCGTTTTAAATTCGTGAATAACCAAAAAATAGATATACTTGTTTTATGTTGTGCATGTTGGCTAGAATAAGACTTTGAAAGATATGAGTTACTCTGAGTAAACTGCAATCACTTTATAGTATGTTGATATTTGTGTAAATACCGCATTTTTTCCCCTGTTCCTCGTAAGCATCTATAGTAGGCTTAGATTGGAGGCAAGAAATTATCACTTATCTTTCAACAAAGAGAGTTGTTATGGGCTTTCACCGATCATTCAACACGGTTTATGTGTTGTCAATTAGCTATTCTTGTTTAACAATGATAGTGCTTCTTTTGTAATCATCATTCCACAAGTCCATGTGACATGACCCTTCCCGAATCACCCTAGTAGACCCAATACGTGTTGTGCGCCGATGGTAAATACCAGCTAACTGTCGAACCCACCACCAAGGCAACTATGACCTGCTTTGACTGTGACTTTTATAAAAAATTTGAAAAAGTTTCCTTTGTAATATAGACTAAAACCGCCTGGACAATAATTAGTTTCCTCAAACCTATATATATAATTTAAAATAGGGTATAACAGTCTCTCAAAACACAAACTATTCAAAATACAATGCTGGTAAACCGACATTTAATATTATTTACAAACAGAAGTCCTTAAATGTACTAAAGATACCAAATATGTAGCAAGCCCGTGAAATGGATATATAAATTACAAATTAAATTTTCTGACAAAAGATTCATGTATACCAAATGAAATATACCCTATATAAACTGACAAAATGAGTCATACAACTATTGACAATTCGTGGCTCAACTCAGTGGATTGACTGTCTCCTACGTTGCTCAATTCAGCTATCATCTAATAAGGAAAATTGTGACAAAATATGTGAGCTTGTAACTCAATGAATGGATATTTCGCAAATAAGTAGAGTTTTTCCATTTATGCAAACTTCCTGAAAACTCTTATGCTAAAGTTTGAAATCCGATAATACTTTTAAGACTAAAGTATAATGAAATCATAAAATTCTTTACTCTTTATTCTGAATAAACAACTACAAGGTAAAATGGATATAAGAAATTTGGCATCAGTAAATATGAGTGAAAATATCATTTTAGAATGCTATAAGTTGAAATCTTTACTCTGTAAACTGAATAAACTAAATCATATAATCTGAAATCTGATTAGGTGTATAATATTGAAAAATCACACCAAAAAGGTACCCGATACTTGAAATAACAATACTCATGTATCGATTAATATCGATATACAAGGCAAAGCTATTCAATTCTGAAATTCTGTAATTATGGTCATACACACGGAGAGCTGCCTGAAGACTTTAATTTGATCAGACACTAGGGAAACACATTCACAATAGCGCAAAGTTAGGAAAATCACCGTAATGGTCATACACTGTAGAAACACGTTCACCCCAGTGTAGAGCGGGTAAAATCACCTAGATACTTTCAGATGGTTTTAAAAATAACTTTAAATACGTTGAAACATATTAATATAACATGTCAACGAAAAGATTTATCCGAACTGAATTTAACTTTTAAAAGAACTAATTATAAAATCCATTTTATTCTGAAAATTATGCTGTCCATTCAATTATAAGAAATAAGTAACTTTCTAATCTAGTATAATTTTAGTAAAATTCTTATTTTTGGAAAATAAGTTTTTCCACTTACTCAAGACAAGACCAATTTAACCACTATCATAATAAGTAACTCTGAATATAATAACCGAATACTAAAATTTGATTTCTCGATACTTAAATAAATTCCCCAAATTTCCTTTAATCAATTGGAGCTAATCTACTTTCTAATACCTTCATCAATATTTACCATATCCAAATTTACTTTCGTCCCAATCATAGAAATAATTACATCTTCCAATCTAATGAAAACTAGCAACAACAACTCAACCAATATAACTTTTATCTTGTTCCATAAATTCGTGCTTTCATGTGAGCAATTCCATCAACATAATCATTTCCACAAATTATCTTTACTCAATAATCCAATTAAAATTCTAAGGGTTGCTAGAATTGCTTACCTTATGCAATTAGCATAACAAATCAAGAAGGTTGGCTTGAAACTATAATCCTTCCACTTAATCTGAAAATTAAACCAACAACTTAGAACCCTAGAAAATTTAACGTCACCATTCCATAAAAAAATTACTTCTTTACCTCTTGAACAAATGAAGAAATTGAACTCAAGTTTGAAGAAGTTAGCACATAATTCCTTCTTTCTTTTTTTCCCCCTTTTCTTTCATCTTTCTTTCTCCTTCCTTTCCATCATTTTTCAGCTTCCTGTGTCCGTTTTCAGCTTTCTGTATTGTATGTAAAATGGAGGAAATTGGTTATACAAATGACACTTGTACTCCACTAATACCAATATTTGCAATCAAGTCCTCTAACATTAGGTTAATTACCTCAATAATCACTGAACTTTACTGAAAGTTTCCACCAGGTCACTGAACTTTGAAACTGCAATCCCATCCATCACTGAATTTTAAAAATCACCTCATTCATCACTGAATTTTGCAAAAAGTTTCCTGGATGGTCACTGATTAGTGATCATTTGAGAAACTTTTTGCAAAATTCAGTGACTCCGTAGAAATCTTAGCAAAGTTCAGTGACTAATGGGGTATTTTTAAGTTCAGTGATGGATGAGATTACAATTTCGAAAGTTCAGTGACTAANAGTTCAGTGATGGATGAGATTACAATTTCGAAAGTTCAGTGACTAACCACGTAGTTTTTAAAGTTCAGTGACCTGGTGGAAGCTTTCGGTAAAATTCAGTGACTATTGGGGTAATTAACCCTCTAACATTCATACCATATAGTATTAAATCCTAAACTTCCAATAATAAATAACTACATCCCCAAAATTAAAATCGTATCCATCTTAAACCCTCAAATATTATCAATTGTAAAATAAACCCAAGAAAATAATTTATTCCATGTAAGTCCTTATTTGACTTTGAATAGTCGAACCTTTGACTTTGAATAAGAAATCTTGACTTTTGACTAATATAAAATGGGGTGTAACGCAATGTTTGTTAAGAATTCCGTTTTAAGTGGATAATTTAGTAACCTTTTATTAAATAATTATTATTTGGATTATATCTCCATTTCAAAGTTGAGAGAGTTTCAGTTTAACTGGCATGTGGTTTCTTGGCGAATACTCCAAATAACTTATGATGTTCATATTTTTATGATGTCTTTGCAGCCTGAGATGGAAATGGTTGCTCGAGGCCTTGAAAATCATTTAAGTTTAGAACAAAGAGAATTGATATTAGAGTCACTCATTAACATTTGTGGTGAGGAGACACATAGAAGTTTGGTGGAAGCATTGGGATTGGTATGTCCATTCTCGACTTTGATCTTCAAATCCTCAATAGTGCTTTATATTTGTCTTAATTAGTTTGTCAATGTCTTGTTTACTGAGAAAACTATTTCGTCTTCATTATTGACTTCCTTAAAATAATACTCGATATTCTGCAGACACTAAACAAAATGCATAGCATGAACTTCTTTATTGAAACATACAGTGGCACTTCCCCATACCTTTAAAATTACATTCACCATTGAAGGTTTTCAATTCAAGGCCTCTCAATTTAGTACGTACATATAACATGATAATAAAAATGGCATTTTAAATTGAGAATACTTTGCCAGTTTAATTTAAAAGTCCCTCAATTTGACCAATTTTTCATTTTTGTTAATGAGTTTGTGAAATAATTTTTCACAACATTATTATCAGTATAACCTTGAAACTGTTTGTTACAATTTTTAACCTTTATTTGTTTTTACCTTGACACAGGTAGGTGTCAAAGATAGCCAAGATAACATGTATGCATAAATTCAGCAATAGAACTCACATTGTTTTCTAATTGGAGTTGTAGGCCACTGAAATACGGTGATTATTCAGTGTATCACCTTTATTCGGATATATTTAAGATCTTATATTGTCAATTTGCTTTTGTTATGTATATTTTTCAGTTGAATACATAATAATGTTGATGGAAATAGTAATCGGCTGTGGAATGGGAACATGGTCGTCTTGTACTGTCTGTAACAAGTTTAGTATCAAAATCAAACAATACATAATAAAATAGTTCTCACTGAAGAAAGACCAGGCAACTGCAACAGCGAGCCTTTTTTTTTTAGTTGGTTAGAATATGAACTTGGAGCACCAACCAAGTTGATCTGAGGAACAACTTGCAAGACAAGGTGAATACCACAGGTGAAAAGGTAGTTTTGATTTACGATATAAGCTTACCCATATGTCTTTCTAATAGACAAGTATTAATCTTACGCTACACTATTTAAATTTTCGTTTTGAGTAATACTATCTAGCACTAGTCTAAGAGACGGTGAAAGAAGACGGGGCTCACCTTTAATTGTCAATAAAGTCGTGATGTATTTTGATTTATTGGACAATTGTAGGTGGGCTCCCTGCCTACTAGTTGATATGTTACTTTGGTTACTGTTGAAAATTTTCGAATATTGAATCAATCTTAGAATTTACGTTACACAGCTTTTGGTTTACAGCGTTACTTTTTATTTAATAATTATTTAATTATAATATCTTATGTGGATATCACTATTTTATTATTATTACAGCTTTTGGTTTACAGTGTTACTTTTTATTTAATAATTATTTAATTATAATATCTTATGTGGATATCACTATTTTACTATTATTATACATAGTAACACATGTGACAATGTCTTTAGTCGTGTTACTTTATGAACATCGTCGAGCTACTTTAGACCCTTATGCCAGATATATAAATTTGTCCTAAAAGGTCCCATGAGTAGCTAGCTCAAGAAAAAGAATGGTTGATAAGCACTAGCCCATGATGTAGGATCGATCAACCTAGATCGATCCTGCACGTATTTATTGAGAGTTGAATTCTATCGACGAGGGTAGGTTGAAGATTGTCAATGTACAAACCAATATCCAATATATTTGTAAGAGGAATCATTTTACGCTATAGTACTCCCTTCGTCTAATAAAGATAAATTTATTTTTATTTTCATACAGATTAAGAAAATGTAATATTTGGGCAACATTATTTTTATATGTAATATTAAAGATCGTCATATATTTTTTTCATATTCAAAATATTTTATTCACTTGTTTATTTGAAAATGATGATAAAGACGTATACGAAATGACAAAGAAAATTCTTTAACTATCAACTAATGTAAACCTTATCCTCCATATTGTCTGGTGAGTTTTTAGAGATGAAGTACCAATCACTTTGTCCAAATTATATTATAACTTCACGTGCTTCTCACTAGTTTGACTTCATATCAACGTACATGCCTCGTTTCGGATACAAATTTTGTAAACGATTTATAAATATAGATAAAGTCAAATATTAATTTCAATCATACGTAAATGAGACTATATAAAACTTTGTACATTTTTCAATCACAGCATCAACAAAAAACTTGTTCTAAACAATGCTGCTAAAGTCGACACTACCAACATATGGTCAGATGTCTGCAACCTTAGTAAGAAATGAATATCAAGCTCTGTCGATGACGATCGAGCTAGTATACAGATTTCCATTCATTAATCTCAGGGCTCCAACATGTCTTCACTTATGAGTCGATTCTTAACGATTGATTTGTAAATAAGAAGGAAAATATTATCTTTGCTGATACCTACTTGATGTGATATGTTGCATGGAAATTTATTAGAAAGAATCACAAAGATAATTGGACACGAGTCTCGAAGTTATCCACATATATTATAGGTAATATTCATTTATTTATTTTAGCGTGGACCTAATTGTTTTAAATATGTGTGTGGTGTGCTACATAAATAAACAAGACTGCACAATTTTTATTCAATGAATAAAACGAACTTCCCATTTTAACTGAGAATATATATAAAAGAATTGAAAATATGAAAATTAATAAAAACTTTCAATCAGCCGAAAACCGACAATTATAAGAATCAGACTGAGCTATAACTAAACAAATCATATGGAAAAAAATGGAAAATATATAGGTTGGTAAATAATGAAAGAACCTTATAGTCGAGTAGTGAATTAGAATCATTTTTAAATTTTTTTATATATACCAATTCAACTGCAATTTGATCATATACGTAAACTCTTTAGTCTTTTTGAAAAAAGTTTGTTCCAAATCCCATAATTAAAGAGTGATGTTATTCGTAGCGAAAGTCTTTCTACATAACACGTATGTGACGGTTCAAATCCCATTGATGATCGTGTTCATGTACAAATTCAAGTTCAACAATCCTGAAGAACCTTGAATGTTCGATGATGGATTCATGCACAAATTAAGGGTTTGTTTGAGCCCATTTTTGTCATAAAAAAAAAATACATTTTTGAATAGTATATTGATGGGAAATATGTGGTTAATAAATAATGACAAATTTTAAATTTGCGTGTAATATTATTTTATTGAAAAATGTGAGGTTGAAATAGAAATGACAACGAGGCGGGTTTGGGACGGGGCACTCCTCCACCCCCTGAAGCGCCACTCCCTCACCCTCGAGCCCCGCCCCACCTTAGACGGGGCGGGTTCGGGGCGCTTCAGCCCCTCCTCGCCTTACCCCACCAACTAGTCGGGCGGTTTTTTTCTCTCCATTCGGTTGGTGGGGTAGGACGGCATGGCTTTTTTGGCGTCACTAAATTGAAATGAGAACAAAATATTATTCAAGAATGATTTTTTTTTCTTTAAATGGAGATGGAGCTCAAAGGGGGGCTATTGGATAATCATTCTCAAAAGCTTTCGCTTAAATGCGTGTTCGCTTATTTGTGGCATATCTAGAAATGGATATAAGCCGTACTCAAATTTAATTGGATTATCCACGCATCACATCAGTTCCCATTTGCTCTCAGCCTGATCCTGTCCAAATCTATCCGAAAATACAATATTTGCTTGAATATTCAATTGAAACAGAAAATTCTTACCCTGTCCAATTAATACTACTTGGATTCTTTGAAATCACAATATCCAAAAATCTTGGGTTTTCCAATTTTAGCTATGAATTTATAGCCTTCATTAGCTGAATCTCATTTACTCTTTGCTTTGCTATCTCTGTGCTCTGTATTTTGTAGTGTTGCCGTTAAGAAAAACTTCTATAGATTATAGACCCTTTATCTGTTTTTGCAATCTGGACTTTTGATATAGTTTAAACCATTGAATCGAAAACCATAAGCGAAATTCCCCAAATATACGGTAATTTACCCATTTTTCGTGTTGTTGAATCTGCGAGAAAGAGAAGATGACGATCGAGTCGATGCCAGGAAGTTCAGGGTACATAGAAGCAGAAAATAGGAAGATAACCTATTTCAGCAACGGTTATGTTTTGGGGTTGACTGTTGTTGCGGGTATTGGTGGTCTTCTTTTTGGCTACGACACTGGTAATTTTTTTTTAATCTTCTCTTCTTTTTCTTTTTTGACAATTCAAATTTTTTTCTATTCACAAACAAATTTTAAGAAAAATTAATTCAGAGATATAATCTAGACTTCATCTTTTCCAGTTTGTAAAGTGTTGGTTTATTTTTTTGATATGTTAATGTACTTAGCTGTCTCTCCCTCCCCAACGACAATACGTAAGAACGAAAAAGAAATTCAATCAAAGTAGCTAGAACCTAGATGGATCATAATAATCACTGAATTGGTTTCAGGGGTTATATCAGGAGCCCTTCTGTATATTCGTGATGAATTTGAAGAAGTCAATCGAAGTAGCTTTCTGCAGGTATGTAAGGCTAATTTATCTTTATAACGTGATATGTGAAAATTCCATATCTTGTTTTACTCATGGAGAGTACCCCCTTAAAAAATATGGTAGAAAATGGAAATATAATTCCTTTGTAGTTGTGATTAAGCATGAGAACAAATTGAAAAGGTGCTGTGCAACATATTAAAGTCGTAGAAGCCAGCTGTGATGATTCTGTACTTTCTGTTTGACGTTGTTTAGTTGATAGTGAAGAAATTGTGTATGGGTGGCTTTTGTTGTTTTAAGAGAGAAATTTTTATGGGAAGGTGATTGATTTGAAATATAGCAGAAGGGAATAGAATTAATATTTTTTTTTCACTACTAATCTTAAGAATTAAAATTTTTACTCTCAGAGCTGGTGTAATTGAAGAGCAGACTATTGTTCTTCCTGTTCTTTCTTTCTCTGCATGTGCACGTGTCTGTCTCTCTCTGCTCCCTTCCCGAACTGACAGGATTTTATTTTTTAATCTACTTTCTCAAGCTTTCGTGCTCTTTATCTATTAAAGTGTCTGTTTCAACGATTTGACAGGAAACAATTGTCAGTATGGCTTTGGTTGGTGCAATGATTGGAGCTGCCATAGGAGGTTGGGTAAATGATTCCTATGGACGTAAGAGGGCTACTCTGTCTGCTGACGTTGTTTTCACTCTTGGATCTGTAGTCATGGCTGCAGCTCCAAATCCTTACATTCTTATTTTTGGCCGTTTCTTGGTTGGCTTGGGGGTGGGGGTTGCATCTGTTACTGCTCCTGTGTATATTGCTGAGGCTTCCCCATCAGAAATCAGGGGAGGCCTTGTGAGCACAAACGTGCTAATGATCACTGGTGGACAATTTCTTTCATACCTTGTGAATCTTGCATTTACAGAGGTCAGATTTTTCTTACTCTTTCTCATCCTTTGATATGATCTAGGTTTTTACTCCAATTCTTCATTTTGTTGGTTTGTGATTGATTCGCATTTGCTATGTCTTGCAACGAGGTAATTTTCCTCGTGTCAAATGAGATAAATCTGTTTCCAAAACCTAACTTTATGGAGAGTGGTTCTGGATGAACACTAAATTTATAGAGAATGCAAAATTAGACTTGCAGTCAGTT